GAGATTAAGGTAATTTACACAGACCTCCCCTATAGTTTGTAATAATTACAGGCGGCACCCTTCCTATTCCAGAAATTACGCTGACCTCCCCTACTTTTGAAAATATCCTACACGGACCTCCCTTCCATTACGGTCAATGTCAGTCAACGACAGAAATTGATGACGTCAGCTACTGTTTTTATTAAAATTCCTAAAATACCCTTGTCAATATAATTAAATAAATATTATAATTAAATAAATAAATTACCCAAAGATATAAATATATATATATATATCAAGCCTTAATCAAGTTAAGTTAGTGGTGATGGCGCGAGGATCTGTGATGGCAAGAGGATGTGGTGGTGGGTATCTGTGATGGCGACGAGTTGTGGTGGTGGGTTTGAGACGGTGCCATCTTTGACATAAATGTTCAAAAACATGTTTTTCAATTCAGTGCGTATGTGCGAGAAAGAAAGAGGACCAGACGTGTTTACCTAACCGGCAACGTGAAATGAATGTAGAAAGTCGAAGAGTGTCTCAGTCAAACCGACATTTGAAAATATCGTTGAAATCTCTGTCTCTCTCAAATCTCAAATTTTCACCTCTACCTGCTTTGATATTAGGGTTTTGAAGCTTGTTAGCCGTCGTTCCCATGGCGGTCGCGAGTTGTTTCGCGATCTCTTTGGCGAAGTTGAAGATGAATCCGAATATGGATTATACAACACTCCTTAGTTGCGGTGCCTCCACTTCCTATTCTTCAACGCCTTTTTTTGTTCCTTCTTCTATTCGATTTTGCAACAAGAAGCCGTTGAAAGTTGAAACAATGGTTTCCAAGAGACCACCTTCTTTGAACCCTACTTGTGAGGTTAGGGTTGCTTTGGAAGCTTCAGTTCACGATGATAGGACCGAATCAAAGGCGTTAAGTGTTTCCGGTCTCGAACTGCTCAAGACTTCCGCTGCAGACAGTGAGTCAATTCTCTAATCAGTGTTCATTACATTTTGCAATTTGTTTTCTATTTCTTATTTTGTGCGAATTTTTTTTTTTATCCCCTATTATTTGAAATTGGGACTTATGTTATTTGAAATTGGGACACAGGTATTGCTTTTTTTCTTAATTAAAATTGTTTCTTAGCTAAATTTGTGGCCAAATGGTACTCGTTTTGGTTCAACAGATCGTCTTCATCGGCGGATTGATCTAGTAGTGACGATCGGCGACAACGATGGCGGCGACGATCAACGATGTAATTTCTGTTGCCAGAAAAACAACTAACGTTCTGTGGTTTGGCAATTTACAACGTCTGAGTATCGTGAGGGTCAAGACTAGATCGCGCCCAAACTAAAACTTATGAAGCTCTTCACCGAATTGAAATTCTTTGCTGCTGCAGTACTTTTCTGATCACTTGCTGGACTGAAATCAACTAACCATGCTTGAATTGTGGTTCATCGGACCTACTGTGCTCTTTGTTGCCTCTGAAATTGGAAATTCATTAATATATATATATATATATATACCCACACATCGGGGTATTTAAGTCATTTATCATTGAAAGTTGAGGGTATTTTAGTAATTTTGAAAAGTCCGTTAGTGTATTTAACAGTCCGTCACACATAAGGAAGGTCTGTGTAGGATATTTTCAAAAGTAAGGGAGGTCTACGTAATTTCCGGAACAGGAAGGGTGCCGCCTGTAATTATGGCAAACCATAGGGGAGGTCTGTGTAAATTACCCAAGAGATTATGATATTATCTGTTTTCATACATCCTTACAAAAATTTAGTATTCAATTAAGGAAAATTATCTCCTTGAAATATTTTTGGCAAATTTGAGGAAGAAATTCTTAAAAAAATGTTTTTGTTTGGTTCATAAATGATAATTTTGTTCTTTTTCTTTTGGGTTAATTTCACTGACACCCCCTAAAGTTTGGCCAAATATCAGTCTAAAACATCTTTCGAAAATAACTATCAGTTAGGTCCAATTTCGCTTTTCCGTTATGGTCTCCGTTAAAAAGTAAGAAAAGACATATTTGCCCCTAATTTTTTAATCACATTTAATACCAAATACACCAGTTACTTAAATGACCATTATGCCCCCATATATATATATATATATATATATATATATATATATATATATATATATATATATATATAACAATCGCATAAAAGACGGCGGCCGAGACATCCGGTTAGGCACAAAGACGATGACGGCAAAGGGAGATCGGTTGGGCACTGCAGCGATAGCTGAACCAGAGAGTGCGAGAGAGTCGCCGGACAGTGGTGGTTTGGGGGGAAGGAAAACGCAGAACCAGAGGTTGCTGCGCCGTCGACTGTGGGTCGCTGTCGTGCGTCGCGAGTAACAGTCTTCTCGCCGGCGGTTTGCGTGGCCGTCGTGTGTGGATTGTCGGTGTGGGACGGCGGGTCGTGTTCTCCTATGGCCACAATTTGTTGGGTCACTATTTTGCATCAATTCCGGGTGCTGTTTTCTTCTCCGGCGTAGTGGACACCATTTTGTGCCGACGGTTGTTAGTTGCAATCACAGGTAGGTTGGGTTGCTTGGGGTTGCCGATTAGGTTGTTTGGGGTTGCCGAATTTGGTTGCTTGGGTCGGTGGGACGGTGGGTTGCTTGAGTCGGTGGGAAGGCGCGCGGGTTATGACCGATCAAATATGGGGCTATATTATGTGTGGGGTATTTCTCGAGTAAATCCCCAGGAGTGTTGGTATTGTCTAACGCTCATCCTCAAATTGATTGGTAAAATCATACATAGTTTGTTCTATGTCATCTAAATCTGCCTTGATTTTTTTGGGTTTTATATGTGACCATAATCAATTGAACACGACAAAGACAAGCCAATAAAATTTTCTGGACATGGCGGTCTCTCCTTCATCGTCGTCGGAATCTTCATCAGTCGTAGTCGTCATCGTCAACTCTGGCTGCCGATCATCGTTGTTCTCTCTAGTCGTCATTGGAGTTCTGGCCTTCCCTGGGTGGGACATGTCACTATTTGGCCCCAAATAATAAGGTGAAATAAAAAAAAATAAGGTCAACAACCAATAGGACGTAGACACGTGGGTGAATTGAAATAATATGTAAGGGTATAAATGGGTAAATATGTCATCTGAATGAGGGTAAATATGTCATTTCAATCATTAAAGAAATAATTAAATAGGTCAAACCAAAGTCAAAGGGTAAGAATGTCTTTTTACATGTAAAAAGTGGTCTGACACACCTGTCAACTAACTTTTTGGGGTATGAGTGAAAAACGGAGCAAACGTTTGTAATGTGAGTGATAGTTATTTTCGAAAGATATTTTAGACTGATATTTGGCCAAACTTTAGGGGGTGTCAGTGAAATTATCCATTTTCTTTTTTATTAGCATTCTGAATTTGAAACTTGTGTGATGCAATTACTTTCTTGGATTTTGTACCGTGGATTTTGTAGCTAATTCCTTGGATTTTGTACAATGGGGTGGTTTTTTGACAAGTGCAAACTGAAACTCAAGTGATAAAAGGTTTATCAATTTTTCAACAAAAGTATTAGGAAATTGATGATTTTCTTGACAAATAGATTTACTTCTTGTTTTGGAACATTGATAAATGTTGAATTGTTTTGGCATACTATAAATGATGAATTGTAAAAATGTTTTAACTCTTTTGATATGTTTAATGGGGTATTTTAAGAGATTGTTTTGGTTATGACAATTGGCATTACCATATAGGATAGGTTGATATATTTTTTGAATTGAATTAGAACTAAAAGTGATGTGAATTACCGGTTGTGGATGATTGGTTAACTATCACTAATTAAGGGTGTTTTATTTAAAAATATATATATAATTTATTTACGGGGAGTTTGAAAATCATCGTAAATAAGTTTTCTATGCCACCTCATGAGAATGGTTTATATTATTTATGGGTAGTTAAAATTCGCCGTAGAAAACTTATCTACGATGTGGGTCGGTGCCTCGTGAGATTATTTAAGGGAATTCTCCATAGAAAACTTTTTTACGGTGCCTCGTAAGTTAATTATTAACGGAAAAATATCCTTGTTGTAAATAAATTTAATATATAGACAAAATTGTTTTCTACGGCGAATCTATTATTTTTCTACGAGATTGATTTTTTCCCGTAAAAAAAATTAAATATTTACGAAACCCTCGTACACGAGGGCCTACAATGCGCCGTGAATAAATTTTGCTTTTGGCCCTAGAAGCCCTCTTTTCTTGTAATAACTAGGGCTGCAAATGAGCCGAGCCGAGCCGAGCTTTGAGTTGCTCGGGCTCGGCTCGTCACTCCCAGAGAGGTGCTCGAGCTCGGCTCGGGATCGGGCTAGCTTGGCTAAGCAAAGCTCGGGATCGGCTCGATAGATTTTCCAGAAGCTCGGGCTTGGCTCGGGCTAGATTGCATGCACTTCCAATTGTTGTTTCCTAACTCTGCATAACAGGAACTAAACAAATAAGCTTTTCTTTCACGATATCAAATCTCAATCTCCAAGAAGAAAAAAGAAAAAAGAAAAAATACAGAAGAAAAAAAAAAAACAAATAAAGAAGTTAAAATTCCAAAGTTGTAGAATTAATTTCCGATTCAAGAAAAGAAAATCAATGGCTAAGATGCAACCTTAATTGATGATGGGCCAATGGTCCTTGGGCCTTATTAATGAAAGGATGTAAATTGGGCCAAACTAATGTATTATATGGGCTAACACTTTGAATATAGAATAGGGTTTGTTTGTTAACATAAATGGGTTGGGTCTTTAAAATGAATATGGGCCATTTTTTTTAGGCTTTGTTATTTAGATTATAGTAATGGTTTTCAAATGGGCTTATCATGTATAATTGTAATGGTCTCATATATATGGGCTGAATCAAGAACTTATAATTGGTTAATAAACGAGCCTTATACGAGCTTTGTTCACGAGCCTAAACGAGCCTTGTTCACGAGCATATACGAGCCGAGCCTAACGTTGTTCAGACTCGGCTCGTTTACTAAACGAGCCTGGAAATTGGACTCGAACTCGACTCGTTTACTTAACGAACGAGCCCAAGCCGAGCCCGAGCTGTCGGTTCATTTGCAGCCCTAGTAGTAACACATCGCAGTTGAAGTAACATGTCACGAATAAGTTTTCCCGCCATAATCTTGTAAGCCCGTTGTGTCATATGAACTCCATCCCAGCTAATGAATGTCTCTGGGTCGGCACAAACTGGAACATCCGGAGCTCCACACATTCTTGTCGGATCAAAATTATAGTCACCACCAGTTCCACAACAAGCTTTTAACACGTTGGTCGCATTAAATCCTACAAACAACAAAATTAAAAGCAAACGTCATGGTTAATATTTAATCCTTTCATACGGTAGTAGTAGTGGTAATACTTTGAATGTTTCTGTTTGTGGAAGGCAGAGTCATCGTAGAGAGACTCACCAAGATATTCAGTATTTTGGAACAACCATATGAAGATGTTAAAGTAATCGCCATATGCAATGATTGCATTCGGATACTCTTGCTTCAATTCTTCAATGGCTTTCTGTAGATGATCGTTGTGATACGTCGAAAAGTCGTTCAAAGCTTTGAGACAATGATGCTCATCGTAAGCTGTTGAGTCGTTGGTTTTGAATCTGGTGAGATAGATTGGAAAACAACCTATTGGAAAGTTACCGGGAACTACTATTCGGACTGCACCATAATGAATAACTCTCTGCAACCAACCGATACACCAAAATTAGAATCAAATAAAATTAAATTAGACAAAAAAAAAAAAAAATAGTTATTTCACTAAACTTACTTTAACAGCATCCTTTATAGCATGGACAACATTGGGCACAATGGTCTTAACCTCCTCAATAGATTTGCCTTGAAACAGTGCATAATTGTAATCATTCCCTCCTATCTCTCCAACCATGAACAGAGAGCTCTTCAGCTTTTTAACACATTCTGTCAAACATAAACAAGTAAATAAATAATCACTCAATTTTAGTAGTTTTAAAAACCATTTAATTTAATTTGGATGAACCATACACCAACCTGTGTTATCGTGACATGTGGAATTGAAATATGTAGACATCCAATCAAGTTGAACATTGAGAGAGCTGCTAGTTACTGGAGATGAGATGTTTTTAGCTGCAAGAATTTGTGTTGGTAAAGCAGTAGAACCAGCAACTGCAAAGTTCACTCCATGTCTGAAGTCTCCATCAATATTCTTATAGGGATCGAGTAACGAAAACCCAGATGTCAATGCTGCAAATGTATGAAATATAAGCCCAGATGCCTTCATATATTGGAAAATATATATATATATATATATATAGACACACACATATATTGAAAAAAACACACACACACACACATATATATATTGTAATACCGAATCTAATACAAATAAAGTTATCAGATTATATAGTAGAAGTCTGTTGCGAAATTAAGCAGAAAATGCAAGAAAGAGATCAAACACATATACAAGAATACACCGATTTTACTTAATTCACTCAAAATTAGGGTTACATCCAAGTATTTTCACTCTGGTGATAAAAAAAAAAAAAAAAAATAGCGAGAGTTCAACCTAATAAGTAGGAAAATTATCAAAAAAAAACCCTCAAAAAAATTAGCGCCCTAAAAAAAATTAGCGCCTAATAACTACCAAAGAAATAAACGATATATTAATTCTGATATAGAGGAAAAAGAAGAGAGAAACAATGCCATACCCAAGTAGTCAATGATGAGGAGTCCGTTGGAGCACCGACCGGTGGCATAGTTGAAGTGAGTCTGACCATATGGAAGCCTAGCCAAAGGCAGAGCAGCTCCGATAGGGGTCTCACGAATCAAATTTCCGGTATCGGATATGGAGTCTCCGAGTTGATATATAGCATCAAAGCGGCAATTATTCATCAAGGGACGAACAAAGTATTGCATTTGAGCATGGCATGATTGAGGAACAAGAAGAAGAAAGATGGAGCTCATGAGTGTCGACACAAAAACACAGAAAAGCAGTCTATTGGTATTAATTGCCATTGCTAAACACAAAACAGATCAACCAAACAAGCTTTTTCTTAAACGTAAACTCTATGGTTTATGGGGTACTAATATATATATATATATAGTGAATCAATTCCTGATTCCACGCTGATTTTATATTATCGATAAGGTTACGTTTCCCTTCTTTAAACGGAAATACTAAGTTGTTCAAATACCTCTACCATTTTGTTATGAACAAAATTAATTTAAGATAATAATAAAAATAAATAAGCAACGTAAATTTGCTTTGTCATTGGATCTGAAAATATAAATTAGAATTGCACTGGAAATTGGATCCGCCCTATTTGAGTTCAGCCTGGACTTGGAGACTATGGTTCTATCCGATATAAGATGACACCACGACAAGTTCCATAAAGAGAATTACGGGTCAAACCCTGTGCTGATTGGATGGTAATTCGGTCAAATTTAAGGTATAAAACCTTCAACTTAATCCAACCCTGAACTTTTTAACTCCGATTGGCCTGAACTGGAAAAATTGAGTTAATAATAGGAATGGCAATTTCAAATGGGATGAATTTGGTAGTCCTAAAATGAATTTGGGACGGCTTTGATAAAATAATTAAAAATTTGAATGAATTTGGTAGTCCTAAAATGAATTTGGGACGGCTTTGATAAAATAATTAAAAATTTGAAGGAGTTTCGGACGGGCAAATTTAGTGATAAACCTACCCCAATCCCGTCCTAATTATATATGTGCCATTAAAATATATATATATATATATATATCAGTAGTGTTCAATTGCTCCCTGGGAGCAAGAAATTATATGCTCACCTTTAATAGTAGCCTTAGGATCTAATCCTACGGCAGTTAGTTAATTAACTTTTATTTTCTTTATTTAAAGAAACTTACGCTTTATTTCTATACCATTAAATATCATTAAAGGAATGACAGAACTAGACAATTTATTAAAGGAAACAAGAATAAAATTTGCTTGAAAAATATTAATTATAATCAAAACTCAAATTTCAAGATTGATCCATCTTTTATACTCAACTTAATAAAATATTTTGAATTTGTTCAGCAACTAATTTAGAATTAGAAGACTACTATGGGCTTCATAAATTTTTTAGAAAGGTCCTGCAAAACAACTCTTAATATATTATTATATATCCATCTAAATGATCCCAATGTTTTTTTTGTTTTTTTTTTTTTTGGGTAAATTAAATGTTCAAAATGTTGATACTATAAAAGCATGCAAAAATATGTATAATATCATTGCAAATCCTAAGTTTTTTAAGGTCCTTAATTTATAGTATTCTAATGGAGAATTATGTTCTCTATTTATTTAAAATCATTTAGAATATGTTTTCATAATTTATTAATAGAATTGATAAAGTGTGGAAAGAAACTAAAAATGATGACTTTTAATTTTAGATTAATTTTACTTTGTCTGAATGACTGCTTGCGAATTTGGCAAAAAGTAATCAAATTATTTTATTCTTGTTTTCTTTAATAAATTGTCTAGTTTTGTCATTTTTAATGATACTTAATGGTATGGAAAGAAAATGTAAGTTTCTTAAAATAAATAAATGAAAAGTTAATTAACTAATTACCGTAAGATTAGATCCTAAGGCTACAATTAAAAGTGAGTATATAATTTTTTGCTTTCAGGGAGCAATTGAACACTACTGTGTGTGTATATATATATATATATATATAATATTTAATATTTTTAAGGCCCTTGTTACTTTACTAAAAATGTCTAATGATATATTAATATTCACTACTTAGTAATTTAAAAGTTGAGTTAACTTATTTATCAACTCAATTTGAGTACACTGGACTAGTTTTGTTTTGCTAAATAATAAAAGTGGCATAACCCGCCCTCGCCCCGCAATTAAACGGAGTACACCAATTACAAACCCATCGTTGAGTAGGAGCAGAGTTGATATGACAAATTTTCTAATCAGGCGAAATAGGGTTTAGTCAATTATGCCCCAACTCCGCCCCGTTCCCATCCCTTTTTTTTTTCCTTAGAGCACGTGTATCGACCCCACAACATACGCATCATTCAAGTCGGGAGTACAATTCGAAAGCGAGATTTCAAAAACTTACCTTCCAGATCATTTCCTACGCCGCTATGCCCCGGGGACTTTGCCATCCCTAGTTAATAAAAAAATATTATAAATATATAAAAAAGAATAACAAAGCTTTTGGAAAAAATTTAAATGAATAGTAACACAAAAAATAATATTTAAAGAAAAATAAATAAAATAAAATAAAAATTGATTATGCCTATAAAATAAATTTTCTTAACAATTTTTTGTTTTCAGAATGCAAGAGAAATATATAAATTCGGGTTGGTTCAAGTTGATGAATCCTCAATCCGAGCCCAATGCAAAATGAGTACAGGTTTGGATTTCTTCAACTCAACTGTAATTGTAAAACTGATTGACTATGCTTTGTTCCAAAGTTGGGGCATGTTTAAGGCATTCCATTAGTCATAACTTAAATAAAAAGAAAAACAATTCTATACAAATTCCAAATAGAATAAAAACAAATGTAGCCCATTACTCACCATTATCAATAATTCAAAAAATTAATACTTAAACTACTTCTTCAAGTGTTCAACTTCAATATAAAATATTTTTACTTGCCAACGACTCTAGATGTTGTTATTTCACCCCTTCTGGACAGTTTGGTAGTCATAAACGTTTTGTGTTTTTGTTTTTATTGGAAATAGATATGATGGAAGAATGCTTGGAAATCTAAAATTTGTTAAAACACTTTTTAGAGCAAAAACATGAAGAAAAAAAATTAGTAAAAAAGTGTTGTAAGTGGTTTTTTTAATGGCAAGAATGTCTAGGGGTTAGTTGTTAGAGGGGATGGGGAGAGTGCAAGGCTCGAATGCAGAGATTAACTCAACCACTAAAATAACATGACACTTGCAAAAAATGTTACAAGTTTGAAAAATATAATGACTAGTTTAAAAAAGACATTCAAGAGTTTTTCAAAAAAAAAAAAAAAAATTGTGTACTCTTATTTAATGCAGTGTTGCTAATATAATGCATAAGATATCTACCAAATTTTGATGTTTCAATTTTTGGTCATTATTTATGAAGCGTATCAATACTATACAAAATAAATCATTATCTACTAACATGTTGCAGTCCAAAACAATGCTACGAAACCTTGTCAAGACAAGAAAACACAAAACAAAAACCAATACCAAATTTATATATTAGTTATATTGGTTATATTTGATTATCTAAAATTGAATGAAACTATTTTATTTTATTTTATTTTTGACTAAACAAATGTAGTCTATTTACTCACCCTTGATCAATAATTCACTTCAACTAAAATTAATACTTAAACTACTTCAGGTGTACGTTCAACTTCAATAGAAAATATTCTTATTTGCCAACTACTCCGGTTATTTCACAGGCATTGGACTATTTGGTAATCGGAAACGTTTTGTGTTTTTGTTTAGTCGAAGCAGAAACGATTTTGTTATGAAGTGTGTTTAATAGTGATTGAAACTATGTTTTAAAATGTAAAATTTGTTACAAGATTTTTAGAATCAAAAATATAAAAATTATTTAGTAAAAAAATGTTACAAGTTTGAAAAATATAATAATTAGTTTTAAAAGATCAATTATGAGTTTCTTCTTCTTTTTTTTGGCTACGGCTTTTTTATACAATGTTGTTAATACAATACATAAACATGTAAAAATATTAAATTGATATTTTGATTTTTGGTCACTATTTATAAAGTGTTTTGGTACTGTAAATTACACAAACCTCCCATATAGTTTGTCATAATTAGAGGGGCCTCCCCTCTGTTTTGAGAAACCTCCCTTAAAAATGAAACTATCCTACACGGACCTCCCTTCCGTTCAACACCAGTCAACAACCAATTCTGCTAATGTCATCCACTTAATTAAGTTAAATGTCTATAATACCCTTATCCATACCATTATATATATATATATATATATATATATATAACAGTTGCTCCACAACGATCCAATTTTGTGTCATTATTAGGGCTCAAATTTGGGTGCAGCTCTACATAGTTCATCTATAAGAAGATTTCATCTGCAAGTCAACTATTCTGGGTACGTTTTGGTAAAGAAGAAGAAGAAGAAGATTGTGTGAAAATTTTGAAGAAAAATGATGAAGATGGAGAAGAAATCCTCTACAACATAGGGCTCAAAATTCAGGTTATAAAAGTTCATATGCAAATCAAGTCTTCAGGGTACGTTTTCGAAAAGAAGAAGAAGAATAAGATTATGTGAAAATTTTGAAGGAAAACGATGAAGATGGAGAAGACATCATCTGCAACTTAGGGCCCCAAATTCTGAAATCATAATAAAGTCACGAACACCAAGTAAAATAATAAAGTCATGAACACCAACATCAAATAATTACCCCCAAATTCAATAGGATCACAATCTTCTGTTGAATTAATCGATGGTATAGAAACCCTAAATATTATGGTTTCACATAAAGCATATATTCTATCTCTCTCTCAATGTGTTGAAATGCAAAAACCCTGTAATACCCCTAGATTTAAAAGGATATTCCTGGTATTTAATGTATTGTTTAAATTGCATTTTTACTTGTTTATTTGTTAATTTTGTTTATTTAATTGATTATTTGTTTTATTTATTTATTTATTAACTGATGATTTTTGAATTAATTATTTTAAGTGTTTTAAATTATTTGATTAATTGTGTTTTTATATTAATTGAGTAATTGTAGTATTAAATGATCCGTTACTTAACTAGGGTTCCCTAAGAAGTTACGTGAGTATCTTAACATAGACTGCTATATGGGCCGATCGACTGGAGTTATACGATAGGGCTGTAATTAAACAAGGATTAGGGTTTAGTGTTTACGCCTATAAATACAGTGATCACGTTGGTTTAGGGTTTGGGGGAAAAATAAAGTGTTAGTTCTGCAAAACACAGAGAGATACAGAGTGAGGTTTTGAGAGAGCAGAGCAAGTTTGTGAGGTTTCTGACTGAGGCTTCAGGGTCGGACCTAGGAGAAGGAAGGACAAAAGAGGTGTGGTGGTGGGTTTACTAGAACCAGAGGAGGCTTTACAGTGGTTCGTATTGCCGGAACAGTAGACACGACGCCGGGATTTCATAACTGAAATTAAAGGCAAGTTCTTTTCTTCCTCCTTCCCGTTGGCCTGTGCTCTGTGCACCTATATATACTCTAGGGTTTAATGGATCAATAATTGAATCAAGCATGTTTTATATGTCAAATTAATCTTATCTTTATTTTGAATTAGTTAGGTGATGGATTTCTAAAGTTTCATTACAGTACTTGTGTTACCTAAGCATGTTTTGTCTGTGGAACTTGTAGTTCTGTAGTTGATTTTAACTACTGTAAACCCATCTTGGGGACTATACTGAACATAATTAGGACTCCTAAGAAAAGTTTAAACCCAATTAGACAGGTTGCAATTGGCCGGAGACGAGGCAGAAGGTTGCAGAAACTTCAGACGGGGGAAAGGGCTCTCACAGAGGGAGAGAGCCGGCTCCATGGAGATGAGCCGGCTCCCTCCTACAATGGAGCCGGCTCTAGGTTACATAGAGCCGGCTCTAACCCAATGGAGCCGGCTCCATGGTTTAAAGGAGCCGACTCAACTCCATTTTGGAGCCTGCTCAATGTTTTAAAAGAGCAGGCTCTTTCCAGTTGATGTATTCAGTGGGTTTTCAGCTACTGTTTGGGCACTTGGGGTTCAGGAAAAGTTTTGAAACTTTAATGGGGGTTTTAAACAAATACTTTAACATGAAATCAAAGTCTTGGATTGCATAAAATACCCTCTTTTTATTAATGGAATTAACAGTGCGCAAATTAACTACTTTGCGTGCGGTTAACGGCTGGAAGGTAATTCATTGTCTAGTTCTAATTTGCTAATTTATGGTGCTAAAATAGGATTCTAAATTAAATTTTAGATACACTGAGAAGTCTTTTAATTGATGAATTAGACTTATGGATAGGCTAGGGCTCTTTGCTAAAGATAAAACAGAGTACAAGTATACAACTCAGTACGCTGTTACCGGATGGAAGGAAATAAATTGCTTAAATTAATTTTAACAATTTACTGGACTATAATATGATTATAGAATTGATTTTAAATACGTGATAGAGTCAATGATATATTAGATTTGATCTATGCATATCTGGATGTTAATTGTTGAGTTATGAAATCACAATCTGCAACTATATGGTTTAATGCTTGGATTTAATTGCTGGAACTTTAACTGTTTTCCTGCAATTACTTGGATATTGGTTTTGGATTATATATATGTGGAATTTTAATTGCTGAATTGATATATTCTGTCAATTATATGGTTATGGAGAATTGTATGCACCAGTACAGGACGGTGGCATACTAGGGACGGTTTAGCTCAAAATGCTAATACCTAACCTATCGGATGAAAGGGATGGATTGTAAAATATTGAATCCTAAACCTTGTTTAGTTAGATCGACTGATTAAGTTGAAAAACTATCTGGATTAATTGTGTTTGTGTGTAATCGGATCGACTTATTAAGTTGAAAGACTATCTGGATTAAGTTGAATGACTACCTGGATTAAATGTTGGTTGTGTTTAAGTCAGATCGACTGATTAAGTTGAATGACTAAACTGGATTAAAATTCTTATGTCAATTCAATAAACAATAAAATGGCATACCTTGGGTTAGACGGACTTTATATATATGTTATGGCACCACGATATGGGCATGAGTCTCAGAGTCGTTGGTTAGGGAGCGTATATGCATTGGGATGTATAGCTGGATATGATGGTTGAGGTGTACCCTGTTAGGTCTAGGTATTCATGCCCACCTTTGGGTGCGTTTTTGCATGTTGCCTTCTACTCAGGTTGAGACCCCATTATAGTCCAGTGAAGGTCTTCTAGTGTGGATATATTTATGTATGGACTAGATAGATATTGTGAGGTATTTAGGTATATCTGCGTATCGGGTCACTGTATGGATTGCAGTTAGATTAGAACTTGTTCGTGGGCCTGACCCACTCTTATTTTTCAGGTATCGGACAGTTCCAGTCTTAGGCCTAATCGTGCTGTGCAGGAATTATCATTCATTCCACCGACGACGTAGGATGTCCTTTCATATTTTAGTATTTGGTTTTATGTCAGTTGTTTACGTTTCAGTTGAGATTTTTATTTAGGGGTCCACTAGATGGATTTCCGAGTTGTAATTCATGGAAGTTTTGGAAGTTGGATTTTATTAAGTTTTATCAGGCTATTGAGGATTTTATATTAGTATTTTGTTTAGCTTTTAATAGTTATTCTTATTTCATTTTTTCATCTGTGTTCGTTTTAAAATACTTTAATTGTTTGATTTCCCTCGGGTTTGGGCCTGGGCCTGATAAACCCATGTCTCGGATCCAAGGGGTATCACAAACCCTAACTTACAATTTCATCCTCATTAAGTCATATGAAAGGACATGTCTTTCTTCGAAAGAGAAGTGCTTGATGGAAATTTTCCATCTAACAACAAGGCATGGAAATTTTCCATCAAAGAAAAGGGCAGTTGTACAACTGATATGAGCTGATGGTACTTCAGTAATTTAACTTAGAAACTTAAGGGCATTTAAGTAAATTTGACAAGCATGTTAGTGACGGCCCTTCACATGTAAGGGAGGTTTAAGATAATTTCATTTTTAAAGAAATTTCGAATAATTTTTCAAAATAGGTAGAAAGTCTCTATAACTATGACAAATTATGATAATTTATTCATCATTATTTAAACATGTTACAGTGCAAAACAATGCTACAATAAAAAAAAACATAATATCTTTCAAAAAACGAAAAAAAAAAAACACAAAACAAGAATGGATACCAAACATGCCTTTATACATTGTAGTTATTTCCTATAATTTCTATTATCTAAAATTGAAGGAAATTATTTTATTTTATTTTTGACTAATACAGTGTATTTTACCATTAAGTTAAAAATAAAAAAATAAAATAAAATAAAATAAAATAAACTTTCTTGGTACGTGATTAGGTCCCTACAAAACAATATATATATATATATATATATATATATATATATATAAATTAAAAAATTTGGAATACAAACAAAAGGAAATATTCTTTGTTTATATGATGTTATGAACAGAGTGCAGACTCTTTTTGATCGAGTGCTCATTATTGTTCTGTTTTTCTCTGGTTCTCCAAAAATTGTCATACGTGTAAGATTCCATGGCACATTTGTAATTTGCATCATTCTCTGGGTCAATCACTTTGTGATCAATAAAATATCTAGTGTGTCAATAAAGTCCAAAATCTCTCGAAGTTTCCAATTATTCTAATTTTTCAGTAGTCCCGCTAGATATTTTTCATCCTCTTTTAACCTCTCCCCATTGGCTTTCCTTCCCCTGTTCCTTTCTCTCTCTAGCCAACCATCTCCTTCCATTCTCTCTCTCTCTATATCTTTCCATGGTGTAACCAATCAATCAATTGTACATACATATAAAATTATATACACGCATATATTCTCTTTTTCTGTCTCGCTCCTCTTATCTTGGCTCAAGGAAAGAGGACGCCATGAATCGCGAGGGAGGAGGATTCAACGGATCTTGCTACTACTCTGTTCTCGGGATTCATAGGGATGCCTCCTCCTCCGACATTCGTGCAGCATATCGCAAGCTTGCTCTGGTATTCTATTTTCTCTATTCCGATCTCCTCTCCTCCCTCTTTGAATTTGTTCAATTTTAATTCGTTCAAATTTTCACTTATATATAGAGATATGTGTGTGTTTATGTGATTTGTGCTTTTGTGAAGAAATGGCACCCGGACAGGTGGACGAAGAAACCCTCGGTGGCCGGAGAAGCTAACCGCCGTTTTCAGAAAATTCATGAAGCATACTCAGGTTATATATATATATAGAAATTTTAATGGTTTTTTTTTAACCATTTAATTGGAATTAAAATTTCACGAATTTGTATTAGCTTATTTGTGAAATTTCACCAACCGCACGGAACAGCATGAAATGTATCTGATTCAATTGACATAGATTAACGGTGGTTAATTAAATCTCCATTTATTTATTTTTGCAGTGCTGTCTGATCAGGCGAAGAGGTCAATTTACGATGCAGGACTCCTCGATCTGCTGGAGGAAGACGAAGTCCGTAAAATATATATATATATATATATATATATATTAGATTCATCCTTATTATTATTATGTTTTGACTATTGCCAGATTTTGCCATGTAGCAAGGCAACATACACCACGCGACAATTAAATTGTGTTTGCTTAAAGTAATGTATAATGTGTCAAAACTCAATTTAATTGCGATGAGTGCACGTGTCTATTATTTTTTGTTTCTTTTTGTTAATTAGATAAGTTTTTGGGCAATTTGTAATAACTTCAAATTTTAGTCTTTGTTTAATTTTGTTTATGCCCTTACATCCTGAAACAGGAAATGGGCGATTTTTTACATGATTTGGTGAAGATGATGGACGACAATGTTGGGAAGCAGGTACACGGATCTTAGGGTATTACGGTAAATTTAATGTGTGGTTAGACCATAGTTAATTTGAATTAACTTGGCAGGAGGAGACTCTGGAGGACCTCCAGAGAAGTTTCATGGAGATCTTCGGTGGAGATTTGATGAATCACAACGGGAACGAATATCCAACGGCCAAGAAGAGGGGACATGAAGCTACTGCAACCAATGTCAGTGCAGCGAAACGCAACTCCACCTCTCGTTATCAGGGTGCGTCTTAGAGGATAACAGCCCCCGCCCTGTTGTTGTTACTGATTTTGGGGGTAGTTTAGGTAATTTAGTCAGGTCCTTTGGACTTTTCATGTGGTTGGTGGCTAAAGAAATGCTTGAAGCCATTGTAATTGCGTTGCGTAATGAAATTTATCTTTTGATTATTTGTTGGAAGTTTAATTATTTTCTTTGCATTTCAATTTTGGTAAAGTTGGTTTGAGATGAGAATTAGTACCAAACATTGGAAATTCAAACTCACTAATGGCTATTCATATGGTTATTTCTTTACTCATTGGGGAAGGAATTCAGATTTATTTTATTTATTTATTAAAATTGCTGAAGAAGTAATTTAATATAAATTGTTGCATGAACAAATATAAAAATACAAAATGTGACACAAGACGTAATGACAGAAAAGAGAATTTGAGTCGTATTGGGGCAGTGACGGACTAAAAAATTTTGTTGAATGGGGTGTGATTCGGATAGGGATAGGATGAAATGACAGAAGAGAAGATACTAGTGGCAGTGATTCACCCATAAATTTTTCGTGATTCACCCATAAATTTTGTTAAGTAGAGACGTTATCGCAAAAAAAAAAAAAAAAAAAAAAAAAAAAAAAAAAAAAAAAAAACATTATTGAAGTTTTTTCATAATTTTGGTAGGACCATTTCAAAAATTTACAAAATTTATAGGCACATTACTTTTATGACTGAGGAAATATCTATTATAAGGTGGTATTAGAGTAATTTAAAAACAAAAATGTAAAGATTAAGAGTTAATTGGTTTGTGACAATGTGTTATGGATTCATTAAGGTACATCATAGTTTCATAAAAAATGGTAAGAAAATGTTGTTTAGATCTGTCAATTTGAACTGTTTTTAGCTACCTAGTGAGTAAAATTCAATTTAGAAGCTACAAATTGAGGAAGTCATTTCCTAATAGCATATTGTTAAAAAAAGAAAAGAAAAAAGCAAACTTAGGATACAAAAAATGATTAGGTGAAAAATAGCATATTGTTAAAGTATATATATATATTCGTTAGAGCTCGGGTATTTGTTCAATAACATACGTACTATTCAAATCAGAAGTGTGATTCGAAAGTAAGATCTCAAGAACTTACCTTCCAAATATCTACTATTACCGTTATGCTCCTAGGGACAAGAAGAAACACATATGCAGTGTTACTCGTAACTTGTAAGTATATTTTGATAATTCACTGTGATACTTAATTGTGCCATAAGTGAATTTATAGTATAACTTTATTTTCATTTAAAAAATAAATGTTAAATTAAGGATATTTCACTTCTTAAACAAAGTACATACAAAAAATTTTACTTATAATTATCACCTGAACTTTCGGGATTTAAAATTTTAATCTTAAAATCTTGAGGACATAATTCTTAATTTTATTAAACAATCTTAAAAAATTGAGGACATAACTCTCAATCTTATTAAGCTTAAATTATAAAAATATTTAAGTTGCACTTTGAAGGACGGAACTAGCATTTGGGATTTAAAATTAGGGGAAAAATAAAATTTTAAAATTTTATTTCATTCAATTTTAATTTTATAGCCCAATTTCCAAGATAAATAAATTTGGCAAAGTGACAAGACTTCTATCATCAATTAATCGTGCTACGCTGGTCTTTGACGGTCTACATGCTATTTTATACCGTGTTAATTATGTGATAAAGGCTGTTAGCATGATTAGTATGCAACATGCATGGACAAAGTTCACATAATTAAGTACCTTTATATTTATATATATATTTCAAGAAATACATTCACATATTCCTATTTACTTTTACGAAAACTTTAACCCTCTTTTTTAATCAGCAGACTATACAGTTCTTGATCTAAATACTTGTATATGAAGAAATAATATTGGGAAAAAAAAAAGGTTCATTATGATAAAAACCTAAAACCACAAGTAAAAATTGAGAGGTAATCATTTACTCAAATTAAAATATTTAAAGTTGTACTTGGTCTTACCTTCTTTTTTTTTGGTTATCAAATGCAATAGGAATGCCAATTTAAAAAATAACGTAATATAAAATCAGAAAAAAATAAAATTAAGTAATCGTGAGTCCGTGGCTTCACTTGTCACTTAATTCTGAACACTAATTTTTTTAAAAATTATATTAAAAAATCTTTAATTTAAAATTTTGGCTTAAAGTTTGATTTTTAAATTTTTAAATACTTATAATTCACAATTTACAACTACAATATTTTTTTATTAATAAAAAACACACTTATACATTCACTTTATTTTTAAATAGTTGAAATGTCAACTTTGACCCAAACATGGTATTCTTAATCCAAATTTGAATAAATATTTTTTTTATTAATCCTAACCGAGTATGGTTTAAGTAGGAGCAAATCAAGTTAAATTTGAATAATATTATAAAATGGGCTCAAAATTGCACCTTGGTAACGTGGCACTCATTAAGGTATTGAACAATCATGGTACAAATGGGCTCCACGCGGACGATGTGTTTGTGGGGTATACAAGAATTGGATGCAATGAATCGTGACTTGATGGGTGGGCTTCACATGGACTGGTACTAACTGATTGCCATTGTACACATAGATGGACCCCTTCCTCTGTTACTTTATTATGTGCCCTTATAACTCCCGATCATGGTTTGTAGTTGCGATGTCCATTTTAGTATTATTCATTGTAAATAGTAATATAAATTAGTTAATTCACAAAAATATGCAATAGTATGGAATTCCTAAAAATAATTACAAATCGAACAACAAATTATAAAATAATGTTTTTATATTACATTATGATATAGTTATGTATAAACCATTAGTGATTAGTTGTAAAGAGAAAAAAAGAATGATATAAGATTTAAATACTATTAGTAATTTTCATTTCATAAGATTTTTTTTTTTTTTGGGCCTACATACGAACTTGGTCTTGTGACTAAAAAAACATACTAGATTAGCTCGAATTTTTTTAACTAGTGCAAGCACAACGGTCTGTATAACTTTTTTACCTATTCTGAATATTGCCTATGCGATCTCTGCGATCTCGAATAAGAGCAATCTTTTCAAAGACTTACTGCAAAAGATATTATCCTTTGTAGGGTCAATATTGTGTGAATAAGTAAATATTCACACATACTTGGACACACACACACACACACACACACTCAAACTCCTCTCCTCCTCTTTGAGGGTGTGGGAGGTTAAACCATTGAATTAGAGCTGTAGAAGAAGAGTGTAATTTGACATTTTATTATAGATTACTTCTTAATATTGTAAATTTATAAATTAGTTTATGACAATTAAAGTCTTTTTTTAATAGATGAAGAGCGAATTTTATATTTCAAAGATTTTATATTAAACAATGGGCCTTATATCATGTGTGTTCTCATATCTATGACAAGCTAAATCTCACTACCCAGGCCAAAATACCCATTGGGGTTCACTTTGGAGTTTGGACGGGCCCATTTGAGCCCAATTTGATATTTCACATATTTATACAATCATTTTACAGTTATGCTACGTAGGGAAAAATAATAATAATATTTGGATGAAAGGGATATTATTTTTGGATGAAAGGGAAAGAAGAGGGATGGATAAGGCATCCTTATAGAAGAAATTGAGTATTTTTTTTTTTTTTTTTTCTCTGGTTAGATAGAAGAGAAAAGAAGAGAATAAGCTTATATAATTTAATATATTCGTTAAGAGGGAAGGAAATAGAAAGTTTTAATTATTTTTATCATTATATTCCATAATATTTATAATATTGTAATTTATAGAGAATGATACTGTAATTTAAAACTTATATAATTTTGGATAATATTTAATTTAAAACTTTTAAAATAGTCCATTTATAAAAAAATAAGTCATTCCTTCTATTCTTCTTTCTTTTCTTGTATCATTCCTACGAAACAAAGTAATTAGTTCATTTTTTCCTATTTTCTCTCTATATCTTCTTTCCTTCCTACCAAATACAATATTAGAATTAAAATTATTATTATTTTGTTTAGAATTGATTTAGAGTGGAAATGTCAAATCAAACTTAATTAGGGTTTGAGTTCATGCTTAGCAACTTGAGTCCAACCCAACCGGGACTCTAACTCAACATTTTATATAAATACAGTACATATCTTTCAGATCATGATTGACCTTTTACTTAGAAGAATATACACTTTGTTTAATTTTAATTTATTACCTCTTAATCTTCTCAAAAACTAATGTCCTGAGAGTTTGTTTATAATTTTTTTTATGAATTTATGTTCAGCTGTAGAATTAGTATTTTAAAAAAAAAAAAATTAGTTAGACATTGAAAAGCTAATTAGAGATTGTGTGTTCATCTAATGTGCTGCTATATTGATTAACAAAATTTGAGACCAATATGACCAGTGTCTCTAACATCAAGGTGTCTTATTTTTATTTAATTATGCTAGGATTTGAATTTAGGGGAGCATAGTGGGATTTTTTTTATAAAAAATAAATAAGAATAAGAAGAAGAAAAAAGGAAAAAAAAAAAATGAATTTTGAAGGAAACAAATTAGAGCATGATTAAATAAGAGAAATTTGACTTGTTTAAAACGGTAATTAAAAAAATTTAAAGAGTAAAATAGAAAAAATAAAAAAAGTTGAAAAAAAATTTAGAAACTAATAATTTTAGAAGGACATAATATACTAGTTTATATATATATATATATATATGTAAAAAAGAAAATAAAAATTATATATATATATACATAAGGCGGGCGAGGCCAGCGGGCGAGGCCAGAGGGCATGTGCCCCACCGGGCACACACTGGTTCACCCCTGGTTGGGAGCAATGTTGGAAATTGCAAAATTAGTCTTTCATAGATTTTTCTTTATTGCACATTGTTTATACAACTCTCAGCCAATTTTATTTTTTATTTTTAACAATCTGCCAATTTCAATGGGCAACAACCACTGTTTAGTTATGTGGACGGTTCCCTCTTATCATTTATCAGTTTTAGAAATAACAAAGAAAAAAAAAAAATGTGTTAGGAGCTAAGTTTTTTAAAATTAAATACAGTAACCAAACAAGAGTTTGTGTCGTGTACTGTAAGGTCGCCCTCATCCTAACAATGACATCTTCGCTAAGGTTTTTATGGACCATGCCCTACCATAGAAACCAATGTTTTCTAGGTCTGCATTGCATACATCTAAACTACGAGTAATTTATTAGTATTCCACTGATTTGCCACTACTCTCACTTATTACATAATTAACGGATATTCCGAAGAATCTTTATTCATGAGAAATTACTATATGGTCTTGATCTATTTGATATTTGGTGATTCAACACAATTTTTCAATCATAACATTTTATAGTAGTACTTATGTATACGCGAGTTATTTTATTAATTTAAAAACCTATATTTAACTGATTTACTGAATATTAATAATTTAGTATCATCTAATAATTTCTCGTTATTTGGACCTATTTATATGATAATAATAAAATCTCAAATATTCTATCCACATTAATTTAAAAAGTTGGTTTAAAATTTATTTTTCTTATTCTAGTCATGCACTTTAAAATGCAGTCATTAGTTTTTACTAGGGACATCATCAATTTAACATGTCTCATTAAGTTCTGTTACAATTATAATTGTTTTGGGAATCATTCTAACAGCATGAGAAGGAATTTGGATGTATAGTGTAAAACTCATCCTATCTCAAGCTCGATTAATAATAATAATATAGATAAATATTATTCTATTTGTTATTATAACTGTTAAGTACTCGTTTTTACCTAGATTTTTTTTTTTTTACAAAATTTATTTTAAATTAGTCTGAATTTAAATTGTTTTTCTAAAACAATATAATTACTACTAATTAGGGTGTTTTGAACCATGGTGAATTTGGGATAGTGGTGCGGCTTCGAAACCCGACCCACCCGTTACATCCTACTTTTCCCTCACCTTCAAATTCAAAATCAATGTCCTTCTTCGTAAATAAGTCCCCAACGATGTCTATTTTACTTAACTCTCGCCGTTAAAAAACCCTATTTAAGGTCTCCTGTTCCAGAATCAAACCCGAACCCTCCTCCATTGCAGCAGCTGCTCTCTCTCTCTCTATAGTCTCTTCCTCTCTCTATATAGTCTCTTCCTCTCTCTCTCTAGATATATATTTGTATACATATATATAGCTAGAGACTGTATCAGTTGATCGACGGGCTACCATGTCGCTGAGACCGAACTCGAGAACCGAGGTTCGCCGCAACCAATACAAAGTTGCCGTCGATGCCGATGAAGGTCGGCGGAGGAGAGAAGACAACATGGTGGAGATTCGGAAGAATCGAAGAGAAGAGAGCTTGCAGAAGAAGCGACGAGAGGGCCTTCAGGCTAATCAGCAATTCCCTACCTCAGTTCAGGCCACCTCCGCCGTCGAGAAGAAGGTAATAATCCTGTGTTCTTCGCTATAAAAACTAGGGTTTTGATTAGTTGTTCTTTTTCCTGGACTTAAATTGGGGCTAATTCACTTTTTATATCGATTTACAGTTAGGGTTTGTATTGTTGAATCAATTGTACGGGTTGAGGTTTTTGTGATTACGAGGGATTGAAATTTATACTCTTATGTGCAAATTCTGTATGCAGTAAAGTATTTCTCTCATGTTTTTGAAAAATAGTTGAGATTTGCCTAATTGATGGTTTGTTAATTTAATTAATGCCGTTGTTGAGCCTTCTCGGATTGTCTTCTCTTTGTTCTTCAACCTTTTTTCGCCTTTCTTTCTGTAATTGTGGTTGATTGTTTAATTTGTTTTGTTCGCAGTTAGAAAATCTACCTGCAATGGTTGCGGGTGTCTGGTCTGACGATGGCAATTTACAGCTCGAGGCTACTACTCAATTTCGGAAATTGCTGTCAATAGGTGATAATTATGTCCTTTTAGTGAAGTACGCTGATTAGTTTACTTATTTCCAGGTTAGCTGATGTATGAATTTTTATTTTTAATAATTTACCAGAGCGCTGTCCTCCAATAGAGGAAGTTATTCAATCAGGTGTTGTTCCTCGTTTTGTTGAGTTTCTTATGAGGGAGGACTTCCCACAGCTTCAGGTCTATCACGATATCTTATATTTCTTTTGAATTTCTTTAGATGCGATTGAATGCTTACAATTTTATTGTTTTTTACAGTTCGAGGCAGCTTGGGCTCTCACAAACATTGCTTCTGGAACATCTGAGAACACCAAGGTGGTAATTGATCACGGGGCTGTCCCAATTTTTGTGAAACTTCTTGGCTCTCCTAGTGATGATGTTCGGGAGCAGGTACCTTCTTGATAGAAGATAGACTCTTATTTCTTTATCTAGTTTTTTAGTTTTTCTTGTTGTCATTTTTTATATATTATTTTCTGGCTTTTTTTTGTGGCTTTTTTTTGGGGTATATTCTTCATTTTTAGGTGCTGTGAGGTATTGAAATTGAATTTTACTATGACTGAGTATTTTATTTTGCAAGTATAAGTAATATGTGTGTGGTGCCTTTCCTTTCTGGTCATGTAGGCTGTGTGGGCTTTGGGAAACATCGCTGGTGACTCCCCCAAATGTCGTGACTTTGTTCTTGGCCATGGAGCTTTGCTTCCTTTGCTGGCACAGTTAAACGAGCAAGCCAAGCTTTCTATGCTGAGAAATGCTACCTGGACGCTTTCAAATTTTTGTAGGGGCAAGCCACAGCCTGTTTTTGATCAGGTTGGTCTCTTAAATGTGCTGTTTTCTACTCATATCTTAATAGGGATTAATATATTGGATAATTAGAGATGCTGGCCTTTGTATATAAGTCCTCAGATGCAGCTATCTATTTAACTAGTATAAATTTGATATGGGAAGAATTAAAAATTAATGTACATATTATAAATTATTTCTAAATAAAAAAGTTATTGTTGAGGAAACAATGTCTACCTTTGTGGTTGTGTACCTACATGGGGTATTTATTCTGGCTCAATCAAATTAACATAACTATTATTTTTTGGAGAGGAAGAATGAATCCTAAGGTTGTTAACAATGTTTTGGGGATCGTGCTTTATATTTAGGTTTTATGTTTCATCTTCACAAAATCAATTTAACATAATTACTATTTGTCTTAATGGTGAATGAATCATGTCAAAAACAGTCTCTGTGTTTATGGCTATGTTTTACCTCATTTGTATTATTTCCCAACAGTTTCATGATATTATGAACATAATATGCCATTAACATCCTTTCCCAATAATTGAACAGACAAAGCCTGCACTTCCAGCTCTTCAGCTTCTTATTCACTCAAATGATGAAGAAGTTTTGACTGATGCATGTTGGGCCCTTTCTTATCTTTCGGATGGTACAAATGATAAAATTCAAGCTGTTATTGAAGCAGGGGTTTGCCCCCGCCTTGTTGAGCTTTTACAGTGAGTATTTAAGTTAGTTTTATGTAGTTGTTGGGTATATTTGGTTATTTGTTGTTTCTGTTTTTCTGATGTGTGTTATGCATCCCAACTCTGGATGTTTTTGGTGGAATTTTCAGTCACCCATCTCCTTCAGTTCTGATTCCTGCTCTTCGCACGGTTGGGAACATTGTCACTGGAGACGATATGCAAACTCAGGTACTGGGCCATTGGAAACATCTTTCTTTATTTTGCACAGTTAGTTTTTATTTTTCTCTCTCCCTAGCTTGTTTGAAATATACACAAATGCTACCAACATGCCACCCTACCATGGTTGCTCTGAATAGTTGACTGGTGGGAAAATAATAACATGGAATTAAACATGAGTTGAACTATACAATTTTCATGTCCATAAATAATAATATTTGATGGATTTTATGGTAGTATTTTTTTGACAAGTGATGGATTTTATGGTAGTTGATGGTTTTGGCTATCATTACTATAAGATTAATCAGCAAAACCAGATCAAAGCTTTTAATAAAACATGAAGTCTCTTTAGATGAATCGCATTTTTTTTTCTCTTTTTTCAACGTAGTTGTACCTCCACTTGTACCAGTTAACGGTAAGTGTGGAATAGGATTTTGACCTTATAGTAATAATGTGGAGAAATACCAACATGGTTTGTACAGTATATCAATGGTGCTAGCTCCACTGATACCACCACAAGGTCCAATATCACTGCGTGTCATAGCAATCTCCATTATTATTTTATCATTATTATCCTCACCAAGTTGACTCAAGCGATGACGATCATCACTTTGATTAGTTACTGGATTTAAGTTTGAGCTTTAAACATAATGCATAAGATGGCAATGCACCTTTCTGGTGATAGCTCCGTTGTGCCCCTATTTAGGGAGGGATTGGGGAACAAAATGTGTGCCCCATTTGAATTGGGTGTGGGCTTTGATTAGGGGAATCCATTCGGTTCCTCTTCATCCTCGTAGCTAGTACATTTATTTATCATATTACTTCGAGTAATTTTTAAAATGCCACAATTTCCCTTTTATGTATAAGCGTGTTAAAAGGGATTCTTAATCTCTCAGTCCATTCACACTCTTGTCTCACATCACTAGTGACCACATCCTCCCTTAGGTTTGTGATCAACAATATCATAAACATTGCATCTTATTATAATTTGCTTTGTCCACACTCGGAAATATATGATATTTATTATTCTTATTTTTACTTTAATATTGTGAGACAAGGTCATTAGTTCTTTATCTTATTTTATTACTTGTTTCTTTATACATACACCATCTCAATCTGTTCATTTCTAAATATACTGCTTCTGATTCTTGTGTTTCGTATTACAAAAACATTGCTTCGTTTGTTTCAAAGTAAGATGTTTTCCTGAAAAATCCTTTTATCACTTGTGTTTGGTTACCTTTTAAAATTAATAAATTTGTTTATGGTAAAAGATGAGAGACTTGAGATACACTAGTATACACCCCAATATCATCCCCAAAGTTGTATAGGACTAATCCATTTCTTTTAAAATCATGTTGAGAAAAGTTTAGAATTTTAGCCAACCACAAAAGATAATTTATTTTACTTGAAAACCAACGGAGCTTAAATGTGTTCTTGGATTTTTGATAGGTGACTTTTGCTTTTAAAAACTATTGTTGCTTTTGGGTTGGAACATTTTCAAATTTGAATCTCTTTCCTATGTTCATTGTTGAAGACACTTGGAGTTGTGGCTTGAGTGGATGGGATGAACTTACAGATTGAAATCGTGGTCGATGATGGGCTAATATTCTAATCCAGTTTCATATATAATGGGTAGGGATTTGGCTGGAGCCTTTTTCATCAGATGGGCTCAGTGTAGGGGGCTCCATCAATTAATTGCCTTGATCTCAGCACTAAATTGATGACTGGGACAAACATGCTGAGATTATTGTGGCTGTAGAGTTACTTATCAAAAAAAAAATTATTGTGGCTGTAGAGTTGTTGCAATGTCCTTTTTGTCGTCATCTTCTAAATCTAACCAACTAAAAAAGTCTTAGCTTCTAGGATTGATGTTCCCTTCTTATGCATGTAATAATGACTACTTGAATTATCCTCCTCGAATTTGTAGTCTAGGTTGATACGGTTGAAGCTAGCTTGGAGTTCTTGTTGGCTTCTTGGCTGGTGCACCTCAACTTAAGCTCAATGAAGGCTAATTTCTGAAGTCTAATATGCTTCAGCCTACTTCATTCTTTGTGAATGAGGTTGCAAATGCCTAAATTACATTCACAGTTTGAGGGTGAGTTGGTGTGATTCAAAACTTTAATTGCAAAAGTTTCAGGAGCACAACCACCTTATTGGAAGTGTTTTATTATAAGCAATTAGCAAATTATGGAGATTTATGTGGGTCACAGTCTTAGTGTGATTATGGTTCTAAAGGTTTATTCTATAACAGGAACTTTAACCAGAAAGCATTATTTTGTTGACAATTAATTAATGAATAATAAATGGTAATTATAAGTAATGAACTGATGATAGCATGCTTGATCAGTTGATTTAATTTGAGTATCTATATGAACTACATCCTAGTTACCACTGTTTTTGTCAGCTGAGTCTAGAAGTTGAGGATGGCATTATTAGTGGAATTTGGGTTTAAGAAACAACCTTATGAAATTTTGCATGTTGAAATATAGTTAGTGAACATAAAATGAAGTGGGAATACATAATTAACTAAAAAAAGTGAACGTGTAATTCCATTTAGTACGTAACAGAGTCGCATCTTGGTGGCATTCATTCAGGTCATGGTGGAATTGATTATAATGATTCTCTAAGATTTTTCCAAGTCATCCAGTCAATCAGTGGCAATATACCTTTGCTAGTTGCTGTTGAATTTCAGAATGTTAGTAGCCCAGAACTTCTTCACCAAAATAAGCTTCCTCACGTCATTAGATGAGTCATTCTTTGCTCTCCCTTATCTAAAGTTCTTCCAGTCATTAGACATGGAACATATTTCTAAAATTCTGTTTGTACTTTAGAATACATTCAAGGGCTATGAAATCTGAGACATGTCTAGTGAAATTTGGATAAAAAGAAAATTCTCACACTGTGTACTTCTTCATGAAGTTCAACACCGAAGTATTTATAAAAAAAATCCAGTTCTACACCCAATTGGAATAATAATTGAATCAGTAATTGTTTTTGGCATTCTTCAAACCGTTAGCAATGCCTTTTATTTGTTGCTATATTATGGAGCATAAATATTGGTTTAATCTTCAATTTTTTTGGAAGGTAAAATTTATATATTCTGGATGGTGTTAAATCTTCAAATTCAGCAGTAGGTTATTTGTTTGAACTGCTTCACTCTTTGAGGAATCTGATGTAGGACAGAATTGGGATATAGTGCTGTTTCGTATAGTGCCATAATAAGTACTGAATGGGTTGAGGATCTAAAGGCAGTGGGCTTTAGAGACGAGTTGACTAGAGCATGGATTCAAAGGTGGTTAGATGCTGAAATTTCATAATATGTATTCTGGAGTTTCATAATATATATTATTGGATGTTGGGGGTTAAAGGTTTGTAAGCTTGGAAAAATTGAGGTTTTAGGAATTTGGTTTGCATGATAATAGGTTAAGGTTGATTTTGTGCAGAACACAAGATTTTCCTTGTATAAAGAGAAAATGGGAAATTTTAAAGAATCGCCCTTGGCATTGCTGGTGGCATTAGACCTTGGTTTTGGGTGTGAGATTATTCAATCTTTGGGAGTTTGAAAACTTGGGCATAGATTTTTTTTTCATAGTTGAAGACTCCAATATTCTAGCTAATTTTTAAACTAATCTAAATTCTACATAGAATATATTAAAAGGAACATCAACACAACGAAGTCCATCTAATAGATAAAAAATCCATGGGCCTTGTATTCACTTCCAAATATTGCAGATTTAATGAAACTTAAGTAAGCACATAAAACTAACCAAAGACATGCTAATTACCTATGTTACCTTTTTCTCACCTGGCTAGCCTAAAGTGTTTGTGTCGACACAACACGGACGACGACGCAGGATATAGGTCAGGCACCCTATTGCAACAATCGGACACGGCTGATGAAGACATGTTCATGGAAAATTGTATCAGTGGATGTTTCCAAGGGATCTGAACTTCTTTTCACGCCTCTTTGTTAGATTGCATGTCTTTTGTTCGGTTCATGGAAGTTGCTGGTTTGAAAATAGGGTTTTTTTAAGGTGGAAGATCTCATTGGGTAGTTTATGTTTCTATATCCAACAACGAGGGCTTATTAATTTGTGGTTAAATTCTTTCCACACCAATGAGCAGGTGAACAGTTCTAAAGATGGGATATTGGAGCTATTAGGAGCTATGTTTGCAAACTATTCGATTAAATGGAGGTTTTAAGGTGAACAAAACTGACGATTAATTGTAAGGACAATCTGAGGTGAATAATCTTGGCATGATTTATTTATTTCTTTATTATTATTTATTGTGTGTGTGTGGATGTGTTTTGAAGTTCAAGAATCATTCATTTAAACAAATAAATAATAAACAACGGTTAGAGTTTGGAACCTTCTATGAAAAATTCTTTTATTGTAATCCATGTGGCCTATATATATAGCTGACATTCTTATGGGGTGTTTAAATTATACCTGAGATGATGTGTTATGGGGTAAATATGCTGTTTCATGCATCTACTTCTAAATTACCAACATTTGGTGGATTTTGTAGTTGACCAGGTTTATTTATTTATTTATTTTTTATGTAGTAATTTTTTCATCTCAATCATTCTATTTTTAAAGCATTATTGTATCATTGTATGAGAAGTAGATTTTCAAACTCTGGACTGTGTTAAGGTTGCCCTTGAGCTAATATATATTTTTTGTTTTTTATAATTTCCTCCAGTGCATCATCAACCATCAGGCACTACCCTGTCTTCAGAATCTTTTGACAAGTAATTTCAAAAAGAGCATTAAGAAGGAAGCTTGTTGGACTATCTCAAACATCACTGCTGGCAACAAGGAGCAGATTCAGGTATACAACAGATATAAGCCTCTCCTAAGTGTGAAATTTAGTTTCATCTTGCTGGTATTTCGACCATCTTGGGTTTTATCTAACTGGACTGATAGACACGTGAGAAAAATGATTGGTTGTATTATGTCTCATTCTCATCAATTTTATGTATATATGCTCATGGATGATTTTTGAATTTCTACAGGCTGTGATTGAGGCTAATATTATTGGCCCTCTCGTTAATCTGCTTCAAAATGCTGAGTTTGATATCAAGAAGGAAGCTGCATGGGGAATCTCAAATGCCACCTCTGGCGGTACTCATGACCAAATACAGTATGATCTCAATAAAATTCTTGTTTTCTTGTGTTAATTTATTATATTTTCAATATACAATTTCCAATATATATGTTGGTGACAGGTACCTAGTGAGTCAAGCATGTATCAAGCCATTGTGTGATCTTCTTGTTTGTCCCGATCCGAGGATTGTGACAGTCTGTTTAGAAGGGCTTGAAAACATCTTGAAGGTTGGTGAAGTTGAGAAGAATCTGGGTCGTAGTGGAGATGTAAATGTCTATGCTCAAATGATTGATGATGCCGAGGGTTTAGAGAAAATTGAGAACCTTCAGAGTCATGACAACAATGAGATCTATGAGAAGGCAGTGAAAATTCTTGAGACATACTGGTTGGAGGAGGATGATGAAACGATGCCACCAGGTGATGCTTCCGTTCCAGGGGTCCCATTTGGAGGGGGTGAGCTTCCTGTTCCTTCCGGTGGCTTCAACTTCAACTAAAGGTTTGTATGCCCTTTCTACCTCAAAAATCACTGTTTCAATGGTATAATTTTGCGCGGTTCACATAACCGGCTTCTTAAGTTTTACACAGAGTTGCCTGATGTTAGTGTCCTTTTTATGTCAATCTTAAATTTGCAGGACTTCCAAGAAGCTGTTTCATTGAAGTCCTCAGTCTGTGTGGTGAACAAAAAGAAGAAAGGTCCTCGTTGCATGTGGTGGGATTATAGTTGTGGAGTCTAGTAGGTGTCTTGTCTTCTTGTTTCGGGTCCTGCTCGGTCCATTCTCAAGTGTGGTTGAAGGCTTTGCTGCGCTATCTCGGGTTTCTAACAATGCCGGTAAATGTAGAGCATTATTGGTGTCTGGTTTTGTTGCTTCTACAATTCCATGTCTTGAGACATCTGGGTTTTTTTCGCTATTGTTTATTTTAAATAGGCAATTCGTTCAATAGAGAAGTATGATAGGTTCTGGTATCGTAGTTGCTACTGTCCAAGTAGTCTTTATTTTGTACTATTTGTTACTGGGTGATTTGGGCACTTCAACAAACTGTTATTCTAGCCCTTGTAATTTTTGGGAGCATGAGAATTCTTTTTCCTTAAAAGCATTTATATTGATGGTTTTTTTGGGTCCTCCCTCCCTCTTGCTTTTGATATGTATACTCTCTGTTTTTTATTATTTTTCTTATTAGTTAAAGGCATTTTTTTAGATTCATGTTGAAGGATAAGGGTATCCCTAGGTTAGGGGAGTACTTCCAAAGACCTTACCACCCGACTTCGGGTGTCAAATAACATGCATGGTGATAATTTTATTGCAGTTTATGTACATTAATTTCGAATTCGTACATTGTCTTGTGAAATTTCGATAAGGTTGCGAGTTTCTAAAATTTTCTTGTGAAATTCAGGTACAGTGTTTATGGCAATGTGAATTGAAAAGTTAATGTCTGTGGGGAGAGTGGGAGGGTTAGTGAGAGAGATGGGGAAGTTAAGAGGGATATTTTGCTTGATAGAAGATTGTGAATGGCTAGGGGCGGAGCAAATGAAGGCCTAGGTGTCCCTGAGTTGGCCCGTATTCTATAATATATCTATTAATTTTTTAAAAAAAAATTCATATATTTGAACAAAATTATTTAGTGCCCCCCAAATTTTGTGGTTTCTAAATTATCTTTATTTATTTATTTTTTTTCTTTCACACTTCAAATTCTTTATAATAAAAAATTAAAATTTCCTTCCTCAATTGAAACATTTAATTTTTTCTTTTTAAAATTTTCTCATTTTTCTTTTCTATTTCTAATTTTTAAAGTTTTTCTATTTAAATTTTAACGTGTATATTTGAATAATTTTTTTCTTTTTATTTTATTTTATATTTATATTTGTTATGTTATATATATATATATATTTTGCACCATTTTCCCTTACTTAAAATCCTAACTTCGTCCTGTGAATGGCTCTTTAACAATGTTTAGCATATATATATATATATACTATTTTATTTTTTTTCTTCCTGTTTACTTGTAGAATTTGTATTTAATTAATTTTTAGAGAAGGATCAATCTCAAATATATACTTGCAAAATTATAAAGTTTAAAGTTACTATTGATTTGTAGTTAAAGTTGACTACTCTTTGTACTTGCACAACTTGATGATATTTGTATCTCTACAAATTCAAGTAACTCTTATTTTTATCATATATTTTGTAAAAAAAATTATATCAAAAGCCAGGAAAATAATATGTATATTTTTCAAATATATTGTACGATGAATATTAAACTTTTACCGTGATTTCTATTTAAAAAAGCTTCTATAGAGTAATCTCACATGAGTTTTTTCTTTACCACGTAATCTCATATGAGCTAACCTCTTAGTTTTTGAACGTGCGCTATGTTAAAATAGAGAATGGGAGATTATCTCATGCTGTAAAAAGTCATAGATAAATTATAATATGTGGGGAGAGATTCCTATATATACTATTAATTAATTGATTAAATGGTCTCCAGCATAGATAATTTGAAAAGCAGACACAAACCCACTAATCAAATGTAATAAACATTGGACAGAGAGCACTTCAAAAGACAACCATCTCTTCTTCCACAGGTTTTTTCTTTTTTTATAACTTGTTCTGTTTTCCACTCAAACAAGAAAAAGTGAGAGGGTTGAATGATTTTTTAATTAATTAATTAATTATTTTTGAAGGATAGTGGGTTCTTTTTAGTTGCTAAGGGTTATGGGCTTTGTGTTTGTTCTTCGAAGACAAAAAGATGTTTGTGGTCTTGGAGCTTTCTGTTTCATTCTGTCGCCAGATTAGCTGGTGAGATGCTCCCTCTAACAATTTCTTCTGTTTTTTTTTTCTATAAATTGTCCCATAATGTTTTATGTACTTATTGGACACCGAAAATATAATGTTACCATTAATACTAGAATGTGATCTAATTTAGGCAGTGTTTGTAACCGCCTTTGTTTTTATTTTATACTGTTTTTGCTGTAGTGCAAAAAGAATCCAAAATACTAATTTGGTGCTTATAGTTTTGGCCTTTTTTTCGGAAACGTTTCGATACTATTCAAATTACAATACACATTCCCAAACACTTCAGATTTCTACTTTGCTTTAATTTGAAAAAAAAAAAAAAAAAAAAAAAAAGATGATGCACAACTGCTGCCAAACAGTGCCTTTTAACAATTTTTTAATTATTTAAAAATAAAATGTTTAAAATCTAATAGGAACAAATGGGTACGGGGATTTTTTGTCAAAAGAGAGAAAGTATAATGTAAGAAAAATAGTTTCGAAATCATCACAGTTCTAATTGAAGGGCCAGGCCTTTAATATCCCGTCTTATGGTCCTTGATCCTAAGATTGAACAATAATAATAATAATAATAATAATAATAATAATATTGTTCAACCCTTTGATGCATTTAGGGGAACACGTGCTAGTTTTTGGTTCTAACCTTTTCGTTAGGATAATAACACCACTCAAACGTAAATATTTTTAATATAGATTTTTAAAAATTGAATTAAGAACAATAATTCGAGTTTGAACACTAATGGTTATCTTGCGGATTGGATTTGCACACATATCACTTCGATTTTAAACATGGAGTATTTCATAAGTAGACAGTAGCCACTCATGCATGTTGACACATGGAGACCTCCTTTTCTCACAACATTTTCATAATTTTGGTAGTTGGAGTGAAGGGCATTTTAGTCATTACACTTCCTAGGATTAGGGTTTTGTATTCAGCCCCCGGTCCGGTTCACCATTCCCCAAGAACCCCATTACTCTTACACGCACTCTCTGTGCCAGAGCTCGTAGATTTGCATGTCAGTCACTCGTCTAAACCAACTTATGCACCTCTCTCTCTCTCTCTCTCTCTTTCATTTCCTTGTCAGTGCAGATGATCAATACCTCTGCTAAAGTATCTTTTTGACCTACTACTACTACTAGTTTTGCGCATTTGGTCTTTGTTTATTTAGTCTCTTCCATCAACGCAAACATTCTCTAGAAATTACTCTCTCTCTCTCTCTCTCCACACAAAAGAAAGGACTTGCTCTGCTTTTCCATCTACCTTTCCATTCCTCCCAAGAAATGATTACTTCTTCAGATTCACATGTACTCCTAACAGGACCACCATCTAAAAACCCATTAGAGCTTATGGATCAAACCCAAAAGGTGAATCCATACAACATCATATATAAGCTTCATCATATATATGCATGCAATTTCAAAGTAATATACCATTGTGTCTGCTTCAAATGGATATTTCAATGATGGGCTTGTGTGTCTTTTTTGGTTTTATTTAGGAATCAATATTCTCTGAGGAAACAAACGAGATCAAGAAATGTTGTGGTGATTGCAAGACAACAAACACACCCTTGTGGAGGGTCGGTCCAGATGGGCCCAAGGTGAATCACCACCACCCATTTGATCCTTAGTTTTATTAATGTATATGATTTCATGATTTAGATTCTAATTTCATGCAATTGGCTTCTTCATTGCAATTGGCTTCTTCATTTCTTCTCTTTCTTTTTTGGATCAGTCTCTTTGTAATGCTTGTGGGATTAGGTACAGGAAGAAAAGGACTGCTGTGGCAGGAGTGAGCAAAGGATCAGAGAAGAGTAAAGAAAATTCCACCACCATTAGTACCAACAACAAGAAGAAGAAGAAGAGTAGCAGTGTGAGTAATGATGGTAAGGATGGTGAGTTGAAAGAGGGTTTGAGGGTGAGATTGATGGCTTTGGGTAAAGAGGTGGTGAAGTTGCAGAAGAGGCAGCGATCTCCTCCAATGAAGAGACAAACTTCTTCTTCTTGCAGGGTTGGGAAGTTGGGAGAGGAAGAGGAGGCTGCTTTTCTGTTGATGGCTCTGTCTTGTGCCTCTGTTCTTACATGGTAAGCAGGGGCTCAAACAAAAAACACTAACCAATCAACTTAACATCTATGTACATAGTATGTTTTACTAGTTTCTTTAGATTTTGTGTTTTATATATATATATATATATATATATATATATATATATATATGAAATACCCCTTGTTTATTTATTTTTTCGTAAAAGGGGTTCGGATTTAGGGGAGTGTTGCTTTCGAGGTTGGAAGGTAGTTCTGTTTTTGGGAGATATGTTTTTGTGGGAAAATGAAAATCTATGTACATAGTATGTTTTACTAATGAAGGAGGAACTCAATTCTTCTTTACTTCTTTTTTTGTGTTTTTGTTACGTTACAAATTCACAGGGAAATGTCATTTCTTCCTTTCTGATTGATAAGTTATAAAGTTAAGAGTTGTTGAAATTTATTTGTAGAAGTAAAATAATAATAATAATAATAATAATACTACCGTTCCTTTTTAATGGTCCATTTTTTATTTTATAACTTTTTAAGGAAATAGACATGCAATTAATGCATTGTCTCCTTTTAAAATTATCAAATTGTCCTTTTTAATTTAAATATATATAGTTACAAAGTTTGAAATTTTATGAAAATATAAAAAAAAGATACTTTGACTTTTCAAATAGGACAATTAGAAAATTGACTATTAATAAGGGACAGAGGGAATATATAATAATAATAATAATATGCAGGTCCGACCACAACCCTAGCCCACATGCATTAGATACAGGTTTTTCAGGTACTACTTTTAATGCCTCCACAGAGTCATGCATCCAGGCAGCATAGACTTCCCACGGATCAAATGCATCAGGTACAGGTATTTCTTAATCCACACAAATCAGAATCGTCATGTATCAGGCTATAAAACAACCAAAATCCCAATGACATAGCATAGCCATTCTTTTTTAAATATGCAATTAAATTTTATGTACATGTATCGATTATTTCAAGAAATAATCGATATAAACACAGAATTTCAACTCATCTAGTCTCAAAAAATGGGAGTTAAGATAACAATAAATGCTCTAACATGTACACTACTACTAGTCACTTGAATAATACAAATCCTCCTTTCCCCTACAAAAGAAGAAAAAAAAAAAAAGAAACAAAAACCGTATAAAACAAAGAATGATTAATTATGATAATTCAAATTCCCAATATTCCATTGGGCATCACAAATCAGATTGCCTCAGTGTGCTGCAGGGTAGGGTCACAAGAAGAAGATCACTGTGTTATTGTTAGCAGATCAGAAAAGTATAGTCTTGAGAATGAGGAGGACCAACATGACGAAACACATGATAACGAGCACTGTAGCACACATCACCATCCCCCCTCGTTTCTGCGTTCTCTCCGCCTGTAAACCCCGAGACATCCCAACATGATATATTAACACCAAAACAAAGATTCTGGAACCAGTAACGGAGCTTAGCAGAAATTTCAAACTAAAATCATAAAGAAAGGGAAACGGTGAAGCTTGGACGAAAAAGAAATGAGTAAGAGGACCTTCTGAAGCTGTTTGAAGCCCTCCTCCACTGATGCTGCGACGTTCTGAATGTTGTAATCTATCCTGTCAACAATAGTGCCCTGCTTGGGGACAATTTTTTTATTAGTAACCTTCAATCTGCGATGAAGTTCCTGAACTATTATTTATAGAGGATGCTTAGCTTGTTTACCTGGTCAATCACAAGGACTGATAGATCCTTCATAATTTGAGCAAGTTCATTCACTGATTCTACAACCTAGTACCATAACCAGAATAAGAGAAAACATAAACCAATAATTCATTCATCAATTAGAAATGGAGCATCAGGTCAGTGTTGAAAACAGAGAGCCAAGAGCTTTCAATTACCTGCTGTATCTCTCTTTCCCTTTCCACTGTGAATGCCTCGCTTTTCTTTAGTCTGGCCATCTGATGCTCGTTAAACCCCTAAACAGGTTATTTGCACGACAATATTAGAGCGTGTGTTATGTAAAAAATTATAATATCATTATGTCCCACAATCAAATCAGCAATTATTCTTAACTTTGCAGTTTGCACAAGAACGACCAAGGGTCCATGGGACATCATGCTAAACGCATTACTGAACCTCCATTGTTTTGCTAGGACCTAATAAATGGAAACTAAACTAACTCAAACATGATAATAACCCTCAGTTGGGCTTTTTTCCTCCCCCTCCTCTTGATCCTCGTGCCCAAATAACGGAAAACGTAATTTCAATTTTGTGTTCAAATAGATTTCCTACTTGGTTTACTCAACAATTTTATTGATAGCGGTGACTGAGCTACTAATGTTTCAAGATGTTTATGAGAATCTAATGGAATTATCCACTTATATATACATAATATATATGGCAAAAAAATCTATGAGAATAAAAAGGCAAGGCAAAAAGTCGGCATACCATGTCGTCCAAGTCATCATCCTCGCTTCTCAAAATATTTCCATTTAAGTTCATTTCCAAGTCAACCCCATCAGGAGTAGGACCCTACATCAAAAAACATTACATTAGGAAAATATTGGAAACATGTACCTCCTGGAATTTCAAGTAAACAATGCACTTCCTAGACTATTATAAAAGAAAAAAGAAAAAAAAAGTTCCTTATAAATTAAAAAATAATAGAAGAGCAACATTGAGCGGTGCAATGAATCATGGACAAAAAAGGCAATTCCAAAGGCCAAAAAGAAGGGCAATGAATAGCATTGAATTCTGAACAGCAAAGCCAACATTATCTCAGTATATATCTGATCGCGTCTACTAAAAAATTTGTCCAACATATTATATAATGGGAACATTCAGCACAGACCTCCTTTTGTTGCCGTAGACGCTTCAAATAAGTTGACTGTTTCTTGCGGAGTTCCACGGAGAGGTTTTGAAGGTCGATGGCAAGAGAACGCTGTCAAGAAACATCAAAACATGAATACAGATCACTTGGATGTCCCCTCATTTTGCAAAAATACAAGTTTATGATAAGTATCATTTTGCAAGACCCTACAATTTACTCATGCTCATAAAAAGCAACAACCAGACTTGCCATAGTCACCAGCTTTAACTATGTTAAATTGAAATTTCATATAGAAAGGGACAGGAGCCCATGGGGGAAGGAAAAAAAAAGGAAGTTTTCTTCCTGATTTCTAACCATCACTGAGAAGAAAAAAAGAAAATTATATGCCTATAACCCTGTAGATCATACTACTGTAAATCCATAATGCTAGAATCAATCTCTCAAAGGTGGCTTACTGATATGCTGCAGCCCCAAACATCCAACCGTTCAAGTTGAGCGAAATAAATAAATAAATAAAAATCATTGCAATATCATTGCAATATCAGAATACAGGAAGAGGAGAGAGAGAGAGAGAGAGAATAATAAACGGTTTGGTTCCTTACTTGAAAAGAAGCGAGAAGATAAGAGAAAAGAAGAGAAAGCTTAAAATATTTCATCTAATGTTTTAAAAGAAAATGGAGAGGAAGGGAAAAGAGATGATGAGGCTCACCTACGGCCTTTTTAAAATATTGTTCTTTAGGCTACGATATTTTAATTTTCTCCTGTCACTCCAAGTTGTCTCACTTTTAAGGGGATAGTTTCCTGGGTCCAAAGAATAATTTTCTCACCTGATCACTTTATTTATCTTCTTCTATCTCCTCAATGAGTGACCAAACCACAGAAAAAGCAATATTTTAAAATTTTCTCCTCCTCTTCTCTCTTCCCTATAACAAAATGGTTTGTCAGACATGTCTGTTCCAAAATGATCAGATACATGACTGTGCTAATGAACCATGGCAACATCTGTTCCAGCAATATGAAATAATTTAAGTGAAGAACCTCTAGCATAAAAAGGATTTTAAAGATCCCATCAAAATTTTACATGCGGTGATAGGTTACAATTTACACAGGATGCAACATAATGGCCATCAGCTATCAAATCATACCTGCACATTTTTTCTAATATTAGAATCCTCAGATGGCCCAGCAGTGGAGAGTTTTCGTAATCTCTTCTCCGATTTTTTCAACAGAGCAGTTATATCATGTGTAAGAGCCTCAATACTGTGTTGATCTTCTTTACCATCCCCAAACGAGGGCATTAAAGCCTTGGCATGAGACTTTGATAGCTCTACCATTTTTGCCCTCACAAATTGCACATCTGCTGCTATTTCTTCAGATACATCAACCCAAGATGGAGGTAGACCCACCGTAAGTGCACCTCTACTGCAGCAGTAAACCAATATTTGACTCTGACCAGCAGAGGAAACACATTTTCCTACTATAGAGTGAGTACTGAGTGTAAAGGAAACTGAAAGCAATGTCTTCAAAAGTTGAGGAAAATAAAGGTCAAATTCTGAAGAAAACTAAATGATTAGCTGCATTTGTTTTTAGTTATGAATGTCTTATGCAAATTTAATAATGCCACAGAATTGCTCATGCCATGACTCCCTGGAGTCCCTGGGTTTCACTTAATGTGATTAGTGAAATCATGTGTCTTTTATATCAGAACAAATTTATCAAATAACTATCTGAGAGACCCCCCCCCCCCTCCTTTCTTCCAAAGCAGGGAAAAAAAGAAGACAAATTAATAATTAAAATTAGCCTATAACTTATAACTCATAGGATTTTGGAATCGACAACTCATTAAGTCATTTGACAAAAGAAAAAAAAAAAGAAAAAAGATCTTGGGTCGCGCACTATGATTTCTGGTGTTTAAGCAAGAACTATTCAAATCAAATTCCCGCCCTGGCTTCAATGAATAGAAAAACCTTATAAGAACTGATGAAATCCACAAAGCAAGCACCTTTGATCTCTGTAGTCACGTGATTGATTGTCAAGGGGAAATTTACTCATAAATCAAGCTAGGCCGGGATAAAATTAAGCATTTGGATCAACCATTGTATTCTTCAGGATGTGGATATAGTCATGCCCCATGTCTACGATAGAAACTAACTCAATGATTCATGATTAGGAGACGAATGAAGCAATTTTAGAATGTCCTCCCTTGACCAGCACAAGCAGAATTTAGCAAGCACATCTACACACTGGAAGTAGCCAAAAGTAGTGGGCATCACCATGATAAACTTCTACAAGGCATACTGTTCAAGAACAGTCCTGTACCACAAATAATAATTACCAGCACGCTATGCTTTGCTTCTGCTAAGTATGCTTGTTAGCTTATTGATGCTAGACCAGGTAGTAGATACCATAAACCAATAAATGATCAAACTGGTAACTGCTCATCTGCACTTTTTTTTTTTTTTTTTTGGAAAGTTGCTCATCTGCACTTTCCTTCCTTCTTTCTCGTTTTAGCGAGGACATTATAGATAAATAGCCTCATAAATTGAATATATAAATTGAAGGCATTTGACTTTTAGACACTCGCCTATAGTTTGCATCATACTGTTAGTAATATTACAAGAAGTTTCTGAATTCACAGTTCTTACTCAGGATCATTTCCACTTCACGCTTTTATTAAGCATACTACTGTAAAATTTGTGATAGATGCAAGATCTGTGCATATCAATTCTCTTGTTTTCCATTCATCTCTTGCCCCATATCTTCCTTACTTAAAGCCTAATTACAACCCAGCATATCAGAAGTCACAACTTTGCATCAGGATATGGCAATTATCAAATATAAGTCAGCAGAGAAAAGAAAAACTCATTCAGAAAACCAGTTTCTTATGGCAGCAACCATGTCTAGGTTCAATGTAAAGGCTATAAAATTTTATGCAGAGTCACTGACCCTAACAAATGACCAGTTAGCTCTCTTGCTTTCAAAACAGTAGAAACTCTTAGGGTTTCTTTTATTTTTTCCCTTGCAAGGTGCAGACTTCTAGCCCTTCCCAATCAATTTTTTTCAAACTCATGCCATGGAAGGAATTCTGGTCTGTGAGAAAAGGTATTTAAATGCACTTTCTGACTTGAAGGAACTTTACAAGATTCTTCAAAATGATTTTTGTTATGGCTTGGGAGGTTTAGCAACCTTTACATCGTGTTTGGGATTTACTTGGCGCTTACTACTGTATTGTTGATGCTACTGATTTTATCCATCTCAAAAGAAAGAAAAAAGGAAAAACAATGAAAAACAATTCAGACCCATTCTTCAATGCACTTAGATACCGTATTGGGTCACTAGTTTGACTGTTATTTGACAACATTGAACTAAAACATTATAAACATTTTGAGAAACTATATATTATTAAAATATCAACAGCTTTCTATATTATTTCATATTATTCTCGCTAGTACTTAGAAAAACCAAGTATAAAAAACAGGTAGGCTGCATAGTGTATTACATATTATATTATTTTGCATATTAAGATGTTCCTCAGAGTACATTTATAAATGTAAAGATAGCATTATAGCATACATGCTTTTTGAATTTAGGTATGCATAAGAAGAAATCCCATTACTGAGTGGCATTCCTATTGATCTAGGAGGTTGGAGCAGTAAATCAGTTACTGGCCTAACTTCCAGTTTTTAACTGCAGAAGTGCTTCCCCTCGCATTCACATTTGTGTATTTACAAATGTCAATTCAAGTTTTTATACATGCCTAGTTATGTATCTATGTATTTATTAGCATTTGAACATTATATGTGTCTGCATTTGGGTATGTATTCCGATACTGTATGAGTCAATATGTAAATATCTGCTTTTGATCTAACCATTTACCTATTTTTATTGAGATTTTATACATTTATAATTTGGTAGATGACATATCATTACTTGACAATGCATTTTTTATGTGTTTTTAGAAGAAGTTACTATTTCGATGCTGCTTTATTAAAAGAATACCAAGAAATAGCTGTTGAGAACTTCCGTAATAAAGCTAAAACCTCCAAGCTTGCTCAATTTAAATCTTAACAGAAGATCAATATCTATGATAGGTATGCAAAGCTAATGCGCCTTGGTGGTATTACTTTGAGCTCCATTCTCATGGTTATATCTACAAGAACGAGATCAAGGCATATTGAGATCCTTCTTGAGCTTACTCATGTCCAAGAAGGACCGTTAGCTTATTATTGCAATTAAATAAGATAATTGATGGCAATGGTCCTATTGAATTAAAAAATACTCCAATTATCCCGAAATCATAATTTTGGTAGCTTTATCTCTCCTCGTGTAATCACCAACAAAGTCCACTAAAAAGTTACAATCCTCTCGACTTAGCTCAAGAAGGGCTTGACCTACATACTTTTGAACAGATCAAGACATTAAATTTTGTTCCACTAAAAGAAAATTTGTGCAAAACAATAAAAAAAATAGAAAAAAAATCATCCACTCCTACTCCTTTCATGGACAGATATCTATATACCCGAACTCTTGCAGTTCTCCAAACCATTCTGACTTAGTCTTGAAACCTTCATACTTGGGCGGTACCCATTGATCACTAAACAACTTTATATTCATAGAAACATGTGAAAATTTTATTTAAGAAAAAACTGTACCTCCATTCCTTCCAAAATACCAAATAAAAATATTTACTCTAAATTTTCAATTTACTAGAGAGAATAAATCTCTCAAGAATTATGCTACCAGAATGACTCTATTCTAATTTAATAATTGCATCCTCTTCTCCATGTATATCCATTCCACTCAATTTTTTTCTCAAATGCATTGTATAAAGCATAGAGTTTAGGTCAGTGTCGAGATGCATGAACTACATGAAGGCATCGCAGCTAAAAGAACTTCCAATCTAAATTTTAGATAACAAATTAAGGCATCTGAGAAGGAAATTCAAATGCAGAATATGCATATCTAGGGATGCATGCATATGGATATATATATATATATATATATATACCTGGAACTTCCAGGATCCTCAGTACTGAGGGGAGCATAAGACCGATTCGGATGAAGGAGCGAAGAGGTTGCCAATTCGATGACGGGACCACCGGACCTCGAATTCGGAGATGAAAATGACGGCGAAGAATTTGTCGGCGAACGCACGCTCTTCAATGAATCTCGGTACTTTCTATACAAGAACGTTCTGTTCCTCGACGCCATTGATCAACCAAACCCTATATAATGTTCAAACTACAAACCAATTCTATGCAGATCTGAAAACGATAAGAGTCAAAGGACGTTGTCTCGTGTTCAGCTCGTGCTGAGAGGCCAATAATCGATGAAGATTAGGGTTTGTCGATATAATACTGATGCTGGGAATGAGATCTTCTGATCCGAGATGAGTTTGTCAGACTTCCGGTGAGGTTGGAATCGGTAGCCGAGTCGGAGGATTACAGGTACGTACGTTTGTTAGACGATTTAATTGGAGAGGTTGAATAGTCATGACGTACCAGAAAGGGGCATACTTGCACGTATGAATGAGTTTTGGGGACTTTAAGGGAAATACAAAAATATTAATGAAATACAGTAGTAAAACTTTGACTAAACAATAGAAGTTGTAAAACAATATTAATAATATTTAATTTCTGTTAGACGAATTATTTAATGTATTTTTTTTAATTCATAGATTAAATATAGAGAGTTTTTTTTTTCTGTTTTTTTTCAAGATTAAATATAGAGAGTTTGCTTTTTTAAAGAGCATTACTTTATTAAAATGTTAGGATTTTTTTCTAATGTTTTATAACAGACATATATTGTGCAGTTAAGATTTTTGTATTTTAAATGAAATTTAATTTTGGGCGGAAATTTCTATTAATGTAAAATGATGAGAGGAGAGGGTTACCATTATTAGGTCTATCTCCAAATTTCTTTTGGGACAATTTTATTTTATTTTTATAAAGTGATTATTATCAATTTTGAGTCTCTGTTTACACGAGTGATAGAGTTAATGTAAGAGCAAAGTTATTTTCTCCAATTAAATGAGATGTACATTGAGTTTTTGTTTTTTTAATATTAAATTCCTTGTCTATGTATATTCTTTTAGGAAGTTGAAAACAAACGTACAATTATACTGTGCTACAAATTTACAATATGACTATATATATATATTTGAGAGGAAATTTCATTCGTACTAGAGACTTGAATGTAAAAATTACATAATTTGTTGCTTAATTATAACGTGTAGCAACATTGCAACGAGATAGAATTTAAAATTACTTTCAATTATCTTTATAAGTATCACAAAAGAGGACCGTAGTTGTCATGCCCCTGATTGATTGAAAAATTAATTATAAAATGTATAATTTATGCATCTTTTTTTATTTTTATTAAAATCTAAAATTTAAAATTTTATGACCAAGTTAACTTGTAAAACTTAACATTTTCCTCTCCCATACGCATGTATAATATTCCTTCTTTCATTTGTTACATATATATTACCTTCATTCTTTATTTTATTTTTTTAAATGGTTCTTAACTGTTTATATATATATATATATATATATATATATATATATATATATATATATATATGTATGTGGGCGCTCAATGTTGATTATGTGAACGAAAAGAAGGAAAAAAAAAAAAACACATGTGAATAAATTATTTCCTTTTCTTTTTCTTTTTTTCAATTATTTTCTTTAATTTGTTTTATATATATATATATATATATACACACACACAGTTAACCATATCATGTATGAATTATGAAACCAATCTTATTTTTTTCTTTTAGTTTTTATAAAAATAGTTTCTATAAAACTCTAAAAATTAACTAATAAAATCGATCACAATAAAATATTTATTAATTGATATAAAAAGAATAGTTGTTTTTTATGGATAATTATCACAATATAACCAGTCCCGCCCAGTTGTGATTATGTCGTTATTAGGAGATGACACGTGTGATCATTTTATTAATCCAAGAAGCCTATAAATAGAGACATGGAGGAAGGGCTACAGAAATTGAGAATATTATAAATTTAGAATTCCAGAATAAAATACATCTATACTATTATTAAATGTGCAAAGATTTCAGTATTAAGTATTTATTTATTTATATAAAGAAATATTTATTAATTGATATGAAAAGAGTTTTAATAAAACTCTAAAATCGACCTAATAAAATTCAAATTAACCTATTTATCTATTTATTATTATTAATTTTTTTGATAAAAGAAAATCTAATTAGACAACAATTATTAATATAAACATATTTATTAATTGATATATAAAATAAAATAATTTTTATAAAACTCTACCAAAAATTAGTTTTATTATGAATTTCTTAATAAAATAAAATCTAATTAGACAAGGATATATTTAAAGAAAATAAAATACTTTCTATAAAACTATATCACAAACTACCTATTTTATTTTCAATAAAACTCTTATCACACTAGACAAAGATATAAAATATATTTAAAGAGTTTCTATAAAACTTTAACACAAATTACGTATTTATCTAATTATATGAGTTTTTTTAATAAAATTAAATATAATTATAATGAATTATTAATATAAAAAATATTTTTTAATTGATATAAAAAATAATATAAATTTTCAAAAACTCTATGACAAATTACCTTTTATTATGAGTATTTTTTAAGAAAAGGTAATCTAATTAGACAAGAATTATTAATATATAAAAATATTTTTTAATTCATATAAAAAGAGTTTTTAAAACATTTTCTATAAAACTCTAACACATATTACCTATTTATTTATTTATTATGTGTTTTTTTAATAAAATAAAATATAATTAAACAATAATATATCTAAAGAAAATAAAAAAAAAATTCTATAAAATCTACCACAAATTAGCTAACTCTAAAATCTAACTAATAAAATTCAAATTAAACTATTTATCTATTTATTATGATGAATTTTTTAATAAAAAAATCTAATTAGACAAAAATTATTAATATAAAAAATATTTATTAATTGATATATAAAATAAAATAATTTTTCTGAAACTCTACCGCAAATTAACTTTTATTATGAGTTTATTAATAAAATGAAATCTAATTAGACAAGGAAATATTTAAAGAAAATAAAATAATTTTATAAAACTTTATCACAAATTACCTATTTTTTCTAAAACTCTACTACAAATTAGCTTTTATTATGAGTTTCTTAATAAAATGAAATATAATTCGACAACGATATATTTAAATAAAATAAAATAATTTATATAAACATCTATAACAAATTACCAATTTGATTTTCAATAAAACACCTACCACACTGGACAAATATATATTTAAAAAGTTTTTATAAAACTCTAACAAAAATTACCTATTTATCTATTTATTGTGAGTTTATTAATAAAAGTAAATTTGATTAGAAAAGTATTGTTAATACAAAAAATTATTTATTAATTGATTTTAAATGAGTTTTAAAAAGATTTTCTATAAAACTCTAACACAAATTATCGATTTATCCATTGAGTATGAGTTTTTGAAAAAAAGAAAATCTAATTAGACAAAAATTATTAATATATAAAATATTTATTAATTGATATAAAAAGAGTTTTTAAAAGAGTTTCTATTAAACTCTAACACAAATTACCTATTCATTATTTTATTATGATTGTTTTAATAAAAAAAATCTAATTAGACAATAATTATTAATATAAAAAGTATTTTTAAAATGATATAAAAAATAATATAATTTTTCTAAAACTCTACCACAAATTACCTTTTATTATGTGTATTTTTTTAATAAAAGTTAATATAATTAGACAAAAATTATTAATATATGAAAATATTTATTAATTCGTATAAAAAGAGTTTTAAAAAATTTTCTATAAAACTCTAACACATATTATCTATTTATCTATTTATTAAGAGTTTTTTTGAATAAAAGAACATATAATTAAATAAGAATATATTTAAAGAAAATAAAAAATTTCTACAAAATCTATCATAAATTAGCTAACTCTAAAGTCTACCTAATAAAATACAAATTAACCTATTTATCTATTTATTATCATTAATTTTTTAATAAAATAAAATGCAATTAGACAAGAAATATTAATATAAAAAATATTTATTAATTGATATATAAAATAAAATATTTTTTCTACAACTCTACCACAAATTAGCTTTTATTATGAGTTTTTAATAAAATGAAATCTAATTAGACAATGATATATTTAAAGAAAATAAAATAATTCTATAAAACTCTATCACAAATTATCTATTTTTTAAAAAACTCTACCACAAATTAGTTTTTAATATGAGTTTCTTTATAAAACAAAATCTAATTATACAATAATATATTTAAATAATATAAAATAATTTTTATAAAACTCTATCACAAATTACCTATTTTATTTGTAATAAAACTAATATCACACCAAACAAAGATATATTTAAATATTTTCTATAATACTCTAATGCAAATTACCTATTTATTTATTTATTATTGGTTTTTTTAATAAAAGGAAACATTATTAGACTAGTATTATTACTATAAAAAAATTATTTATTAATTGATTTAATAAAAAGTTTTTAAAAGAGTTTCTATAAAATTATAACACAAATTACCTATTCATCTATTTATTATGAGTTTTTTAATAAAAGAAAATATAATTAGACAATAATTATTAATTTAAAAAATATTTATTAATTGATATAAAAAGAGTTTTTATTAAACTCTAACACAAATTACCTAATTATTTTTTTATTATGACTTTTTTAATAAAAGAAAATATAATTAGAAAATAATTATTAATATAAAAATATTTTTTAATTGATATAAAAAATAATATAATTTTTCTAAAATTCTACCACAAATTACCTTTTATTATGAATATTTTTTAATAAAAGGTAATCTAATTAGACAAGAATCTTTAATACATAAAAAATATTTTTTAATTCATATAAAAAGAGTTTTTAAAAGATTATCTATAAAACTCCAACACATATTATATATTTATTTATTTATTATGATTTTTTTAATAAAAAAAATATAATTAAACAAGAATATATTTAAAGAAAATAAAAAATTTCTATAAAATCTACCACAAATTAGCTAACTCTAAAATCTACCTAATAAAATTCAAATTAATCTATTTATCTATTTATTATTATTAATTTTTTAATAAAAGAAAATATAATTAGACAAGAATTATTAATATAAAAATTATTTATTAATTGATATATAAAATAAAATAATTTTTCTAAAACTCTACCACAAATTAGCTTTTATTGTGAGTTTCCTTATAAAATGAAATCTAATTAGACAAGGATGTATTTAAATAACATCAAATAATTCTGTAAAACTCTATCATAAATTATCTATTTTTTCTAAAACTCTACCACAAATTAGCTTTTATTTTGAGTTTCTTAATAAAATGAAATCTAATTGGACAAGGATATATATTTAAAGAAAATAAAATAATTTATACAAAACTCCATCATAAATTAACTATTTTATTTTCAATAAAACTTTATCACACTAGA